TAGGCCTTCAAGTTTTTTTTTTTTTTTGTTGTTAACCAAAACAGAATTGATAGCCTAGTTGTATCGAGTTGCTATAAGAGTGGAACCGAATTTTTGTAGCCTTTGTTTTAGTTTTCGATCGGTGTATTCTAACAAAAATCGTCAAGGACTTATGGGTTATCGATACCGAGAATCGATAAGCCCCTTAACTGATTCAATTTTGGTGAAAATACTTATTCCGTGTTTCGGTTTTTTTATGGATTTTTGTTCGGTTAACCAAACCGACAATCCTACTTGTAGTTGATTAATTTCTTAATTGGTTTAAGAGCTCACATGTTGGATTTGAAAATGATAATTTAGAGTTTTGAAATCGTTAGATTTATAATTGATTTATTATATTATGGATTTGAAAGAGTTTATTATTTGTGTAATTCATCTTTCATCATGAATTTATAGCTTGTTGCATGATGGATCCAAAATTTACCTTCTCCCAACCTAATCCCAAAATAAAATATGGAATATACAAATATGTGGACAATCTAAAAAATTCAAATCATAAGTAAGTGAATTTGGCTTTCAATTTTTTTTACCCAACAAACAAGAGAATTATTTAAATTCATCACTTTTAAGATTTGAATGTCAAATCTATCCCCAAATCCTACAAACAAATGACCCTAAGAATTCCACCGCTACATATGCAACTGACTTTTTTTATGGGATGAGTTATGATGGTTACTATTTTTTTAAGTAACCATCGTGGCTACCTATATCTCCACCCTTTATTCTCAATATTTTTAAACCGACGGTCAGGATTTATTAGGAATAATTTTGGAACAAAAATAATAACCTCACCTGATTACTATCCTTAAAATAGGATTCATATATATTCTCTTTAAACCCTAAATAACCTTATTCATCTCCTTCCTCTATAATAGCCACTGTATCCCTCCCCTTCCTCTTCAATCGTTGGCCACCGCAAGTTTGGCTCCACCGGTCTTCCCCTCCAACCATCTTTTTATTCAAACGCTCATATACCTCTTAAACCTTCTAAATCCATTTTCCCCTTCTTCTTCTGTCCCCTTTTCCTTTTCCTTTTCTCCGCCCATCACCGCTGAAACTATAGCAGACCCAAATCGGCGGTGAAGAATACCAAGAAGCCCAAATCGTCATCAGAAGCTACAGCACCATCAATGGACGCTCGCGTCCCAGATCGGGACCGCCCCGACGACGCCGATTCCCCCGCCACTTCCGATTCTTCCTCCGACGTTGCTGACGGCGACACTGGGTTCCGAACATGGATCGCCGGTCGAGGTCGTGGTCAGAAACGGAAACCCGATCAGAGAGATCAAATACATTTTGCCGGAGGAAGCGTTCAGCTTTGCTTCTGCATGTAATCTAGAATGGTAGTGCTTGCATTGGTAGAGGATTTGCTTTGGTAGCTACCTTGCATTTTATTTTGGTACTGTTTGCATTATTCTTTGGTAGTGTTTGCATTATGTTTTGGTGGTTACCTGCATTTTCTTTGGTAGTTACCTGCATTTGTGTTGGTTAGATGGAGCATTATGTTTTGGTAGTTATTTACATTTGGTGTGGTAGTGTTTGCATTATGCTTTGGTAGTTTCTCTGTATTTGTTTTGGTAGTGTTTGTATTGATTTATTTATGCAATGGTATTGTTTTGATTTCACAGTAGTAGTGGTATTGGTTGTTTTGAAATTTGTTTGACTTTTGTAATGGTATAGATTGTTTATATTGGTAGTTTTCGTGTAATGGTATAGATTTATTTCTGCAATGGTATTGATGTTTTTCAAAATGGTTGTGGTTGTCTAATGGGTTGGTAGTGATTTCGTGTTTTTTCTTTTGCAGAAAGATTGAGAAAAATATGGAAAGGAGATCTGGTTGGAGATTACGAAAGTGAGAAAAAGGGAAAAAATTGTAATTAATAGATTTTGTAACTACCTAAAATGTAATTTATTAAAATTAATTAATTAATATAATTTATTTTTCCTTACCCAATTTACCTTTAGTAACCACGGCGATTACTATTTTTGTAGTAATCACCGTACCCGCTCCCTTTTTTTTATCAATCCTTAAAGGCTGAGCTTCCTACTATATTTTAAAGTATTGGTGTTTTGAGATACAAATTAAATTTTTACCATAAGAAACTATTTAAGTTCATATTATGATACAAGTTCGATTTGTACCATAAATTGTTTTTACAAAAAAAAATATTTACAAACAGAATTTATACCATAACCTTGAAATTACAAATTCACTATGTACCATAAAGACGTAAAAACAAAATCACACATTCTTTAAAAACATTGTAAACTTCCTTTTAGAGTGTCTTTGGATAGATGTATTTGAAATCATGAAATTGATATACTTGCATTTGAAATCCATGTAATTCAGATTCATTTTTTAGATACTCATTTCTAACATGTTGGTATTTCAAATTTTATGAGTTTCTTTTTCAATTTTGATTTTTTGGTGACATATTACAATTTTTGAAATAAGACTTTTTAGTACTCAAATCCATAAGTAAGTGGAATTTGACTTTCAATTTTTTTACCCAATAAACAAGAGAATTGTTGAAATTCATTTGAGAGTTCGATGTGAAATCCATCTCCAAATCCAACAAACAAATGACCTAAGAGTTACACCACTACATTGACTTTTTTTTTATCAATCCTTAATGAATGAGTCTTCTACTATGCTTTAAAGTATTAGTGTTTCGAGATACAAATTAAATGTTACCATAAGAAAACTTGTACGTTTATGTTATGGTGCAAGTTTGGTTTGTACCATAATTGTTTAAAAAAAAATTATAGCTACAAACTAAATATGTATCATAATGTTGAAAGTTTAAATTCAGTTTGTATCATAAAGGCAAAAAGAAAAAAATCACACATACTTTAAAACATTGTAAAATTCCTCTTATGGTGTGTTTCGGTAGATGTATTTCAAATTCATTGTTTGGATACTCTTTTCTAACATGTTGGTATTTCAAATTTTATGAGTTTTTTTTTTCTATTTTGATTTTTTTGGACACATATTTCAATTTTTGAAAAATAAATTTTTTTAGTATTCAAAATAAATTGTTTGATCATTTAGTACCTAAAATTTCATTTTTGTACAAATAGGTCCAGAAATATTGGCTGAGAAATTATGTTTTAGTACCTTCATATTTTTTTACTTGTATTATAACATATAAACTTGTATAATATTGCAAAAATAGGCTCAATCTATTGTTATGAGTAATTTGAATCTTTAGTTGTTGATATGTATTGGAAATTCAAAACTAATATACTAGATATTCATTTAAAATTTACCAAATACTATGTATAATTAGTAGGGTATGCATATTGCAAGTCACCATTACTTGGAGAAAATGATCGACCTCCTCTGTTAAGTGGTCGACCACTTTCCAAGAAAATGGTCTACCGCTTCCATCAAGTGGTCGACCTGATGATACACTTACCTTCAAATGGTCGACCTATTCTATCAAGTGGTCGACCAATTTTTAAGAAAATGGTCTACCACTTCCATCAAGTGGTCAACCTGATGACACATTTTATTTCAAGTGACCAACCAAATTCCTATGAAGATTATAAGCCAAGACAAAAGAAACAACACATCTTGTAACACTTTTGGAATAAAAATCCACAAGAGCAAGATGATATGATATTTATTGATTTTGAAGATGACACAATTGTATAACAATTATACTCCACTTTTTGAGCATCTTCATAACAACAATAATTGCCCAAAAAAATTCATAACAACAATAGCAACAAAATTTATGCATCGCAAGACAATTATATGATAGAAACAAGCAAACATAGAATTTGAAGGAAAGATGAAAGTCACTATAGAGTAAGTCCAATATAAGAAATAAATATGCAAAATATTTTTCACATATACGGAAGAACAATCACTCAAGAAACATGTCATCTATGTTCTAGTCTTTGTACTAATTTTAAATCTCTTACTAGCAAACATATATATTACTTTTGGACTCTAATTATAGATGATGAAATCACTAACAATGGTTGTTGACCGACTGTTTAAAGCGGTGGACCGCTTGGTGGAAGTTGTAGACCTTTTTTTTTTTTGTAAAGTGATCGACCTTTTAATGGAAGAGGTCGACCGTTTGTTGAACATTGTATAATGGAAAAATAGTACATCTGGTCGACCATTCCAGTAAACAGGTCGACCATTTTGTTCAAAAAGGTCGACCATTTTGTCCAACTCACGATGACTTGCAAGTCACCGTAGCAAAGTCCTAATTAGTATCCAAACAAATGATTTAATATTTGAAATTCCAAATTCTAAATTCAAATCTGTCTATCCAAACACAACTTATAATATTTAATAATATTTAAAAACAAAAGGCACAGAACACTCCAAAGTGTGATCAATGTATATTGACCCTGGTTCAAGGCTGAGTGTGTGAAAGAATAGCCTTACCAGGGTGCTTGTATTGGTTTGTTTGTTTTTTTTTTTACCACTAATAATTGAATAAATAAAATAAAATCACACTTATAAAAAAGGTTAATACTTTGTTATGGCCTGAACTATGACCATGTAATCAACTTTGGCCAGTGGTTTGAGAAATTAACATCCTGGCCCGAACTATGCAGCATATAGACAAAATTGGCTTGGAGCGTGGTTTGACCGTTTGTTTGGACGGTCAACGGTCAACTGTCCAGGTCACTGCCATGTCAGCATAAAAAAATTATAATTTCATTTTTCTTTTTATTTCATTTACAAAATTGATAATTAAAAAAAAAAACTTTTGGCCCACCCATCCCCACCTTATCCCCTCACCTTCTTTCCTTTTCGATCAAACCCAAACAAACCCTATCTTCCATCTTCTTCCTCCTTCTTCCCCGACGAGCCGCCGCCTCCATTCTCTCCATTCTGCAGCTTCAACTCAATTTGAGCACTACTCCTGCCGAGCTTCGCTTCTTCTTCGAGGACTTGATCGGTTATGGCGAGACAGAAGCTCGGTGTTCAATTTAAACACACGCTACGAACACAATCGCTGAATCATTCATTCCTTTTGTGGTGGTGGGGTCTTGAAGGAATCCCAAGTCGAGCCCTCAAATTTGCCCCTGCATGAACGAAGTCCTCGACCTGCGACAAAAATTACCGTTCTCAAAACCCTAGGCGAAATTTATTTCTTCATTTGGAGCAGCATCAGAACCACAAGCAGATTTGAAAGGAAACAAAAGAGGAAAGGCTGATGGAGAGGCGAGAGTGAAAAAGGAAAGATGACGGGAACCTTGTGGATGCCGGAAGCGTGAAGGGCGGAAACGGAGGCTGCGGCCGCGGAGCCGACGAAGAGGGAGGCGATCGCGAAGGCTTTAAGCGGCATCAGACCACAGGATCCGTCGTAGCCTCTCCGGAGCGACGAAATGCCGCAGCCCGTTAGAATGACGCTTCCTACACCCCACCAAACCCAACGGATTTCATCGCCGGCGGCGGCGGGTTGATTTGCGTCCTCCATATCTCTCCTTGACATGGATGAACGAGATGCTTTCCCCGAACCTGTCGATGAGCAAATTGCCCGAATTCGTCCTGCCGGAGAAAGGGTAGTAGACGGTCAGAGTCTCGGCAAGAGAGCGCTTCAGGTGGGCGATGAAGCGATCGGTGGATTGGAGATTTGGGTTTTCAAGGTTGGCGTAGAAGAGGATGAGTGGAGTGTAGGTTAAGGGGAAGAGCTGGTCGAAGAGGCAGAGCTTGTGTGGAGGTTTTGTTTTTACGGTTTCAGGGGAAGCTGGTGAAGATGATGCAGGCGGCAGCTTTCCGCTGCATTTGAAGTCGTAGAGAATGGAGGCGGCGGCTCGTCGGGGAAGAAGGAGGAAGAAGAAGGAAGATAGGGTTTATTTGGGTTTGATCGAAAAGGAAAGAAGGTGACGGGATAAGGTGGGGATGGGTGGGCCAAAAGTTTTTTTTTTAATTATTCAATTTTGTAAATGAAATAAAAAGAAAAATGAAATTATAATTTTTTTATGCTGGCATGGCAGTGACCTGGACAGTTGACTAACGGTCAACGGTGTTGACCGTCCAAACAAACGGTCAAACCACGCTCCAGGCCAATTTTGTCTATATGCTGCATAGTTCGGACTAGAATGTTAATTTCTCAAACCACTGGCCAAAGTTGGTTACATGGTCATAGTTCAGGCCATAACAAGGTATTAACCCTAAAAAAAAATACACACACAAAACACAAACATGTATGTGAGCGTCTTTGGAAAAAATCCAAAAGTACCACTGTTTAAAAAAAATTCCAAAAATACCATCCAACCCCAAAAAATTCCAAAAATACCACCCTTTTTCAAAAACCGCCACCCCACCCAGCGGTTTGGTCGAAAACCGCTTGTCGGGGGCGCGGTTTTGGACCAAACCGCGGGCCTAGAGGCGGTTATAAAAAAAAAAAATTGGACCAAACCGCTGGGTGGGGTGGCGGTTTGGCCCAAAACCGCCACCCCAACCAGCGGTTTGGTCCAATTTTTTTTTTTTTTTGCGACCAACTCCTAACTTCGGTCGAAACTTCAAACGAACGTAACTTTGCACTCGGGTATCCGATCGTAGCGATTTGTTTTTTCATTTCGCATAACTTTTCAAGATCTACAACATTTACTAGGATGAAATTTTCAAAACAGGAACTATTTGTGGGTATACGGGACCTTGAGAATAATTTTACATTTACTTTTCAGAAATCCATGTACATTTTGAAATTATGATTATATTAAAAGTTGTAGATCTTGAAAAGTTATGCGGAATAAAAAAAAATTCATGACATTCGGATTTTGGAGCACAAAGTTAGGGCCGCCCAAAATTTGACGAAATAAAAAAAAGGTCGTTCGGGGTGGCAAATGACGTTTTTTCGAGACGAAGACGGAACCCGACTGTTAGAGACTTGCAAGATCTCAAAAAGTTATTCGGATTCAAAAAATGGAGGTCGCAAACTTTTTGAGATCTTGCAAGCCGCAAACCGCCGGGTCTCGCCTTTCGTCAAACTTTGGGCGGCCATAACTTTGTGCTCCAAACTCCGAATGTTATGAATTTTTTTTTTATTCCGCATAACTTTTCAAGATATACAACTTTTAATTTAATCATAATTTCAAAATGTACATGGATTTCTGAAAATTAAAGGTAAAGTTATTCTCAAGGTCCCGTATATCCACAAATAGTTCCTGTTTTGAAAATTTCATCCTAGAAAAAGTTGTAGATCTTAAAAAGTTATGCGAAATGAAAAAAAAATCGCTACGATGGGATACCCGAGTGTAAAGTTACGTTCGTTTGAAGTTTCGACCGAAGTTAGGAGTTGGTTGGAAAAAAAAAATTGGACCAAACCGCTGGTTTGGGTGGCGGTTTTGGGCCAAACCGCCACCCCATCCAGCGGTTTGGTCCAATTTTTTTTTTTTTTATAACCGCCCCCTAGGCCCGCGGTTTGGTCCAAAACCGCGCCCCCGACAAGCGGTTTTCGACCAAACCGCTGGGTGGGGTGGCGGTTTTTGAAAAAGGGTGGTATTTTTGGAATTTTTTGGGGTTGGGTGGTATTTTTGGAAATTTTTTTTTAAACAGTGGTACTTTTGGATTTTTTCCCCTCGTTTTTGAAGTGTGGAAAGCTTGTTTGGCGGGAGAAACACAACTTCTTACTATTCTGCTTGCTTAGAGCCGAACTGTGTTCGTGCTCTAGCTTATACTCCCAACAACTAGGCAAATTCCAGCCAAGTTTATGGATTGTTCACGGACCAATTTACAAAACAATCTTGTATAACTTGTTTAAAGAAACATGTCAATGTATTCCGCCAAGGTATGAACACATGTTCACAAGATTGGACGACTATCATTTCATAACATCAAATAAAAATCATTGTGCGAGATATAGGTAATACACACAGTTAAAAACAAAAACAAAAAAAGGTTTCCCATCCTGAATGAAAATGTCCATAATGCATGCAAACGAGCATAATGCATACAAATTTCACATTTCAATGGACATGGATGGAGTCTCTTTAATTTGTTCTTACTACCTAAACCGAAAAATGCCACAATTCAAGCTACGTGTTCTACCCCTCTCCTCTTACTTTTACACCCTCTAATCTCCTCCAACAAACCCTTCAACTCATCACTCGACGTCCCACCTTCTCCCACGGCTCTCTTCGCCTCCTTCCCCAACTCCACCGCCTTCCTCCTCATCTCCGCCGCCTCCACGCCGCCGCCCATCACCACCTCCACCGCGCTTCTCAACCTCTCCCCGCGAATCAACGGCAACTCCTCCGTCGCCCACACCGACCACACCTCATTCCCTACCGAAACCCCAAACTTCATCACCTGAGTCACCAGCTTCTCGTTGTAAAACTGCTCTGCGAAAATCGGCCACGTCACCATCGGCACCCCAGCGCAAACCCCTTCCATTATCGAATTCCACCCGCAATGCGTCACGAACCCTCCGATCGACGCGTGTTCCAAGATCGCCATCTGTGGGGCCCATCCTCTGATGATCAGCCCTTTCCCACTCTGTTTTACTCTGTTCTCAAACCCTTCCGGCAGCCACCATTGCTCCTTACCTTCGTCGACTTGATCGAACTCCACGTTGGGTTTCAGGATCTTAGCCAATACCCAGATGAAAGGGTGGCTCGATTCCTCCAATGCGCGAGAAATTTCGGAGATTTGAGCTTTGCTGAATCGAGTCAGACTTCCGAGGCAAATGTAGAGAACAGAGTTTGGTTTCATGGAGTCGAGCCAATTCAAGCAATTCTCTGCATTTACGTCTGATTTCCCACCTCTATTGATCTTATCATCGAAATTCCGGTTGATGAACAACGATACGGGTCCCAATTGCCATGCTTTTAATCCTGTGACTCTTCTGTAATGGTCTGCGTACTCTGCCTCTAGGTAATGAAACGTGTTAACTATAACTCCGTAACTTCTTCTCTCAGCCTGTTTTAATTTGTCAAAGAACCTAGACAGTTTCGCTTCCCCTTTCACAATATCGGGAAGCTGAGATCTGGTTAGGGTTACGCGGTTCGGAATTCCCGGGACGACGAATTCTTCAGACTCCGACGAGATTTGGGCGTGCGGGTTGTTGGCCTCGATGCTGTCGGCGATACATAGATTGAAGAAACCACTGCCGCTGAAGGCGAGCCTGGGGATTCCGAGCTCGGCGGAAACGTCGGCGGACCAAGGGTAAAGGTAGTCAGTAACTAGGCAGTCGGGGCGGTGGGTCCGTACCAGATCGATCATCTCCGGCTGGAGCAATTCGATGCCGTGGAAGAGCTTGAAGTTGATTTCAGGGGTGGGTGCGGAGAGGAGATTCTCGCAGCCTTCCGGGAGGCCGGCTTCTTTGAAAGGGAAGGCGAGGGTGAGGAGGGAGATGCGGCGGCCGGAGAGGGAATCGCGGTCAATGGCGGAGGAAATGCGGCGTGCATTGGTGGTTGTAGTGAGGATCGTGACTCTGATGTCTCTGCCGCCGGCGGCGGCGAAGAGCCTGGCGATGTCTACCATCGGGACCATGTGGCCTGGTGCCAAGAATGGGATGAACATTACGTGGAGGATGTCTTCCTCTCCTCCATTGATCGAACCCATTTCTTTGGTTTACTGGTTGTGAGTTCAGTTTACGGCAAGAGGCGGATAAGTAAACGGGAAGGGAAGGGTTTTGTATGTGTTCGTAGAGAGGATGAACTTTGTGAGGGGAATGAAAAAGTCGTGCCTGAAATGTTGGAAAAGATCCAGGGAGGGAAGCCAATGTAATCTGAAAACTCGGTTATTGTACAACAGAAATTGCTATGAATCTGTAGAATTTTGTTTTTGGTGGCCCTTTTAACACACGTTTTATAACTGGTGTAAAACTCTCACGCATTTCGATTTGGTGCAATTCAAAATGACTTTTCATAAGGTGATCAATCCTTGGTGTACTTCATTTCACCCCAAAACGCATCTTGTTGGTTAAAGTTGATTTCTTACTTATGTATCATGGATCTCTCCCGTGCTTTGTCAATGTCGGATTCGTCTAAGGTGTTACATACACCCTTCCTTGGGACTCAACATTCTCGTTGAGGTTTGTCCCAACATCGTTCAAGTGGGACGCAAAGAGGCTCTGATACCACTTGTTACATCCCGAATCTTTTCCCGAGCAAGATATTGTCCGCTTTAGGCCTCGACTCTCACAAATTTTGACTTGAGTTGCAATTCAAGGTGACTTCCCATAAGGTCAATCATCCTTGGTGTACTCCACGCTGAGCATGTTTAACTTCGGAGTTCACACAAGAACTCCTCCATTTCACCCCAAAACGCGTCTTGTCGGTTAAGGTCGGTTTCTTACTTATGAACCATTGATCTCTCACGTGCTTTGTTGATGTCGGATTAGCCTAAGGTGTTACAACTTGTTTCCTCTTTTTTCAAATAAGAAATATCTTATTTCAATCCCAAAAAGGGAAGCTGATAACATTACAGTAGGGAGCAATGAATTCGACCTTGATCTAAGATGACCGAAACCATGCAA